CCTGAATATCCCGCGGCGTAATTACTGGCAGCGCGAGCCAGTTACTATAAGTTACTATAAGTAACTGGCTCGCGCTGCCAGTAATTACGCCGCGGGATATTCAGGGCACAGACTGTGATCATAAGATAGCGCGAATAGAAAATAGAATTTAGAAAATAGACATTGCATGTGAACGAAGCCTAACTCTGCAGGGGGTGCTTGATAAAGTGTAATCAGTGGAATCAGATTTATTTTCTGACATGTTTCCTCGGGCAGCTAGGAAGTAATTAACTATTTTGTGCTGATTAGGCCGATTCCACTGATTGCACTTTAGTGGAAGTCCTCGCAGAGTTGTACTGACCCAGCCAATACGATTATTGAATCTGAATGTGCCCTAACAGACACCCTGAGGTTCAGAGTAATTGTGGCAATTCACCTCTAAACTGCCATGCCAAAGCTGGGATTGTCTAATGGCCATCACTGTTATTTCCCTGATTGTCAGGGTGCACATAAAACTAAAAAATTCCCTCAAAAAGAAATGGTGCAGCAATCTGATATTATGCTTTATTTAATCACCAACTGCATGAATCTCAAATCACCTAATACTAAAACATTTAAAATCTATAATTCCAACTGTGACAAAATTATTGATACATTGTTTTGCTTAATGTGAACCAGTTAAAATATAGAAGCAGTAACATTACTCTTTGCAATTTTTGTATTAACTATTCAAACATTGTAACAAGAACAGGGCATTTAACCACACTCATGATAAATTTGATTGAATAAGCATCATGTAGACTTTAGGATAACCACCCAAGAACCCAACATTTGCTTCTAGATAGTTACAGTACCAAAATATCTCTGTTTTTGTCACAAAATAAACCTTGTCTTGAGTTTGGCAAAGGATGCAAAACTAACACGTCAACCTTCACTCTCTGCCAGGACAAAGCAGAATATGTATTGTACCACTGCAAAGTCATCTCACCATAAATTAATATAATGTTAAATTCCTAACTCAATGCTACAGTAAAAACAATCTTAGAAAAATAACATTTACATGTAGAAATGCCTATTAAAACGGATCAAACTACAGTATCACAGTAATGAGAGGACTATGCACTTAAGGCAAACCTTATTAAATGCTAATACTTAACAAGACTTAGTATGAAGCTGGGAGGAAAGTAAGACTCTGTCCCTTATGTTTAGGATAACTCATAATTTTACAGATATCAGAACATTACAATATTTTAAATACTGCCAAACTAATGCATATGAACAGAATCATACCTTTTGTCTTAGAACATAAAAGTCGTAACTAGTACAAAAGTGCAACTAGAAACGATGCAGAAACATAGAAAACAGATCTTAAATTCACTCAGAGGAAGTTTAAAATCAAATCAAATCATCCAATTCTGTCTTACACTGCCAATATCATGGTCAATTTATTTGTTTATATATTTCTTTCCCTCTTTTTTTGCCTGTATTTTTTTTTTTTTTTTGGGGGGGGGGGGGCATCCTTCATGAGTGCTGTTCAAGACCAGCAAAATGAACATATTACCATACATACATTTGTAATCATAAGATACAAATATGTGAAACAACACAGTATAACTGCCAACTTCCCAACATGTCAAAAAACACAGGAGTCTCTTTTCCCTAAAAACATGGAACACTTTCAACATTACACCAACAATTAAAGAAACAGAGTGTTGTATGCAAAATAATTCATCCCTGGCATCATCAGTTACTTTGTAAAGAAACCAGTTTCAGTCAAATCTTTGACAATCTTCATTATTTTCCCCCTTGCTTGTTTCAATACCTCCTTTTCTCTTCTCAGGGAAATAAATCTTTGATATTCATGGCATCAATTTTAGCATTGTACTTGTCAATCTCTTCATTGGTCTGTTTAATATAATTTGCAATGAATTCATCCATGTCTGAAGTCTGTCAAGGAATGTTCTTCATTTAAAAAATATAATCAAATGTACCAACCACGACTGCAGTGGCAACTATTTTCAACTGATAAAATATTGATGACTCTATGGGCCAGCATATTCAGAGTGTATCATACTGCTATCATGACAAGCCTCAAATCAATTAATATTACTTACTCATTGGTATCAAGCTGGCTACAGTATTAGAGGCAGAATTTTTAAACTAACTACCACATGCCAATTAAACAGATTTGGAATTTATTTATCAGTGGCAAATTCTCAATGTCCCTCTCAATGACAGCATGAAAAACTTAGTATGGCATAGCACATTTTATAGTTATGAAGATATTTTAAAGTAAAAGAAATTATTACATGTGCTTGATCTAAGAATTGTATGATCATGATGGCACAAGCAGGAGTCACCCTGTGATGCTTATGCAGAATAACTGTTTGATCAAGAGAGGCAATGGGTTATTTTAAATGTGCACAAGATCATGCAATTACTGAATATATTAAGTAAAGCAAGGATACTGGGATGAGTATCTGACTTGTCTCCAGCCAGACTTACAAAGTGGGAACCATTGTAGAACCAGCCTGGAGGCAGGGCCTCAAGATGATGCTCCTTCTGGAAATATGGAATTCAGAAAATTTGTAAATACTGGGCACTGAAACAGGCATTTTGTGTACATAGTAAGACTTTAATCCAGACTTTTAAATCTTTTTCATAGATATTAGCATTTGTAAAAAATATTAAGTATGGTATAATCAGTATAAGTATTTAAAAGAAATTGCCAAATGAAAAGAGAATTTCTTCTTTTCATCGTGAACAACAGTACTGCTCAAGTGCACCTTGATTTAAGGTATTTCTCAAGAATCACTTTCATCAAAGACATCCATAAAACTTACATGGATTTTTGCCACTTCATTTTTGGTCAAAGTAGCCTGTGAGACATGGGACTTCTTGGCTGGTTTCTGAAATTAAAAAAAAAATCTGTATTATGCCAGATAAAATGGGCCACAGTCAAGGGATGTGCATGCCTGGCTAATGGTGGCTTTTTTCCTGTTTCTCACCAATATTTCACAAGAAATTTGAAAATTTCCTTAATGTATTGTCACTGTTTTTTTAATATTCAAAAAGAGAAATCAGCATTAATATTGCCTTGTATTCCCACACTAAAAACCCAACTCACTGGACATTTCACCTGAGATGACCAGTGTTTTACCTGTTTGGCACAAGTTCTCATCCAGTCCTTCAGTTTCTCTTCCTCCAGGTCCAGACCAGTAAAGACCAGACAGTACTCATGTCCATTCTCACTACCAGCTGGACCATTGGCTGAGGGTGGCGGTGTTTGCATCTCTGCATTGTTGATGACAAGAACTCCACTCAGTGTCACGTATTCTACATCCAGGAGTGTTGCAGAATCTGCAAATAGAGATAAAAAGACGATGAAAAAAATATTATGGCATCAGTATTAGTGCAAAACAGCACATATACAGATGTGCTGCTACTAGTACACTTTTTTTAATTATCCATATACATACATGGAGCAATAACTAATTTAATTTGATTTTAACTATGACAATGTAACATAATCAAACCCTAGAAGTGAAGGTTGTTCCAAAGAAAATAAATTTTCATATGCTCTTTACCTGAGAAACGTAGAAGTCCTCTCACAAAATACACATTGCCTGCTTTTGAAGTCTTATTGAAATGCTTTTTGAGTTCTGAAATTACAAAAACCAGGCATGAGATACTACATACTTAATTTTTCCTTTCGAGGTACATAAAAAAAGTTGCTGCTATTTAGCTCTTGACCAGTTGAGCCTTCAGTCCTGAATGCATGTCCAAATTGACTTAGAAGTAAAACCACGAAATGTGTTAGAGAAGCCAGACACCTTAAATTCTACACATCTAACATATTATTTCTGGAATTACAAATTTACATGGATAAAAAACACATGGGGCATATGTCTTTGCAGGACTGAAAAGACTAAAATATGCTAATAAACTATCTTGCCCCCCCCCCTTTTTTTCGTTTATTTAAAACCTCTTGGGATCACCTTTCAGCCTCCCTAAAAACTTTGGTCTCTCCAGAGGCTGGGTAAAGCGCAGTCTCAGATCTGTCAGTGGAGGAACTACAGCACCCGAACTGAACTGACCACAGGACCTGAGGACAAAATATCCAACATCTCAGAATGAATAAATAATTTAAGTAACAGAAATTAAGCAGGAACTTCTGGTTATCATGAATATAATGAGGCTCATGTACCTGACATGGATTATAATACACATATAAGCTGGTGGCCTCCACTTACCAGCCTGGACAAGAGAGATGTCTGGCTCTTTTTGTTGCATTTTCCATAAAGGCAGTCTCGGACAAAATCAGGTCAAGGTCAGTGCTCCTGGTGACCTCTCCCTTGTCAGCAAGAATGAAGCCAACCTCTGGATTAGCTGCTCTAATCAGCTTCTGGGCTTCCTCCAGGAAGGGATTCTAAGATAAAAAGCAGTTAGTATGTGACAATTTTTGAAGAGAATCCATACGATATTTTAACCACAGGAAACTAAAGCCACATCACAATAAAACACAAATCACATAGTGCTTTTTGACTCTAATGTATGGTTTACTTGACACAAGCTATATAACTGGCACAGATAGGGTTGATGGTAAGTTTTGTCATATTGACAAGAAAAATTTTATCCATTATAAAAAAAATTCTTTTCTGTGTTAAAAATCATATGTCATCTTACCTTGAGGTCCAAATTACTGGTGAAGAGAACATTATTAACCCAGCCCTCAGCACACTGGTCCAACAGCTTGGGGAATGTGTATCTGAAATGTTCATGGGAAATTAAATATAGAAAATTTAACTTTGTACACTGTAGAGTTAGTAAGGTTTGGCATGACTTGATAACTGCCAAATATTTGAAATATCAACAGAAATCAGATGGCATTAGATGGTTGCATTTTCAAACAAGCTCCACAAAGGTTGGTGATATCTACATAGCTCAAAAACTGTAGTGGCCCACTTCTGTGTTTTATGTAGGCTAAGCCCGCTTACCTGTCTTCCATATACATGTTCATTGGGTCCACACATGCTGTTACTGCACCTGAAGAAAGACATACAGTGTGAAAATATCACTGGGTTACTGACAGTGTAGAATCAACTAATGGCCAGGTATAGTTTTATTTACTTCAAATGTTGATGTGGGGATGACATATTTTTGTTTTGAAAACAAAATAATATCTTTACGGAGATGGTTAAAATTTAAACAAATACTGCAGGCTGTTTCTTATCAGTCTAGATAAAACAACAACAACAATAATGAAGATGATGATGATAAATTATTTATACCTGTGTTCCATGTTCATTTTGGAATTGTAAAAAATTACAGTGGTAATACTCTGTGGCCAGCTGTGTAGTGGCATCCTCTATATCACACATGCAGAAAGCGGTCCATGTTGATAAAGCCTACATCTACTTACCTATCTTCAGATGTCTCTGTATGTCAGGATCTTCAGAGGAACCAATGGCTGTTATTACATCCACAATATCAGTGAACCTGAACAAGAAAACATATCCAAGCTTTCTTACACGCTTCTTTGCATTTTTTTCTTTGGAGAAATGTAGTAAAACAAAAAAAAAATTATACAAAACCACTGAGAGTTAGTTAGTCACATCTACAGGCTACTGTACCATTTCACTTGATAACAATACTCATAGACTTTTAAAACATAAAATACCATCTAGAAATCTATCAAACAATTAATTTTCTTTACATCTAACTTCATATCTGCATGTATATGCCAAGACTAAAAAAAAAAAAAAAAAAAAAAAACAACTAAACATCAAAGATTTGAAAGATAAATCATATTCACCCTGGAGTCACAAGTAGTATATGTAATTTTTTGCTCTGCTTCTTTCTCTTGGATGCTTTGATGAGTTGTGACAATGACACCTGTAGCCCTTTGGGATCAAAAGTGTCTATGTTGTCTACAGGTCTACGCAAAACAAACCACCTGCAATTAAGAGGTAGACTTCATAATATGTATACATCTGAAACTCTAAACAAGCTGTTTCTAAAGTTGATACATATTTCAATAGAGCATTATCAAAACAAAATTTATATGCATGAAACCACTGGTACTGCAACGCTAAATCAATTGAAGTATATCAAGCTATCTACAACAAAACTCGACATACCTCCATGCAAAATAAACACCACAACATAGTTTGTAACTGACCAGTGATTAACACAATTGAAGGGGTACTAAGATTTGTCTCAATAAAATGTCTCACAGTAATGTTATTTATTTATTTTATTTATTTTTTTTTTACTTACTTTTGACCATCTTTGGCCATGTTCACCAGAGTAGTGCATAGGTTTCTTTTATAGCTGCCTGGAATGCCTGTTATGATTGTCACAGTCAACTGGAAATAAAGAGTTATAAATCATCTTAATACAATGTCTTAAAATAACACATTAGTTCTATCATTTAATGTTTAATGTTTAATGACATAAGGAGGGCTTCTTTATAAGATGGTCACATAATCAAATTCTAAAGCTGCAGTAAAATTATGCAGTAAATTTACCTTTTACTGAGTTCAATCGAAAGTATACAAAATTCATAAACATTTAGAGAAAAAAAGTTATTATTTTTCTTTTTTCTTCTGTTTTTCAAGTGTCCAGATATTTTGCTTACTTGGTCATCATCATCAAAACCGCCTGCATCATAAGGCTGATTGAGCAAAATACTGAGATCTTTGGAAGCCACTGGAACTCTGCCAACACTGCTCACTTTCAAATGATCCAGGAATCTGGACAAATTGTAAAAGAGACAAAATTACAATCAATATGGGCATAGATAACTTTTCTAAAAAAAAAAAAAATTAAATAAACATAATACAAAATAAGATAACCTCTTTTCTAAAAATTATTGTAAGACCCTTTTCCTATGTTACATTAAGTGTTTTACAATTTATTGTCTAATTGTAATTTTTTTTTCAGTTAAGTTCTTGATACACACAATACTAGTAGTGTGTTTTCCTACCTGTCTAAATCCTGCAAGCTAGCCATGGCATGTTTTAATGGAGTCACAGTACCATGAGAACTCTCAACTGTATACTTCAGCTGGAGATGGTTATGCCTGAAAATACAAGTTAAAGTTGCTTTTTATTCTAAAGCATTTAAATGCATTTTCACCCGTTTTACTTTTTTCTTCCCTGATTTCATTAAGTCATAAAATGCAACTGTTACTATTTATTGAAAAAAAGGACAAACTCAAATTTGGTCTATCAGCAAAAAAAAAATTAGATATGGTATACCTAATGCATTTTTCTAGATAAATAAATTCAGAAACTACTGCATTCTGATAAAAAAAATCAAGTTTACAAAAACAATCATATCCAGACAACTTGCGAACATACATTTGTGCTAGATCTTCTGGAAGCTGTGCGTCTCCTGCCAGTAGCTTCATAGGAGGCACCTGGTCTTCCTGTCTCCACAACGGTAACACCTGAGAAATAATATCATTACACCTTAGTCTTACATGTAAGTCAGTTCTTACAGGCTCCTCTCAAAGGCACAACTGCTTCTTCAACTCTATCAGTATACAACAAAATCTATCCTTGTCTTAAGGATAGATTTTAAGTACTGCACACCAGTGATCATGGCTGAATGGAAATATGAAATAATTTCTGCAAGTTTGATCACAGAGTTAACAAAAATGAAATAAAAAAAACATTTTCAATTAAACAACCTGACATAAGAAGAAAAAATTTATGTAGACAGAGTTTGCTCAGTTTTTTTTTTTACAAAAATGCCCAGAGGTTCATCACATAAAAGATTATATCTCTGATGCAGACTCAAGAACACATTTTTCTATTACTTAAGAAAAAAAAACATTACAATACAGTATATAATAACTTGCCTCTGCAAAAAAGGCTTTGTAGGCCTTGGTTTTGGGAGTGAGTACAAACACTAGCTGCTGGTTTTTGCCCTGTAGATGAGCTGGTAAGAATGGGCTGAGACTGGGTTTGTACATGACTATCAGCAGAGCTACAACACTGGGAGAGTCCTGCAATGAAGAAATATTTTACCAAAATACAATTATCCATTTCGATTCCTGTATCTATACGTGGCAGCATTTTTAACAGTTAAAATCTTTTATAAAAACATTCATAGAGATTTGAACTTCGATTTCACTGCAGATTATGACACTAACTTTTTTCAACACCCACTGGTATGTGCATGACAGACTTGCGTATGCATGCATGTGTGTGCATTGCCTGAACACACCAAGTTATCTCCTATTCATCATTATTACAATCTTACCCCATCAAAGAACTCCAGGCTGATGACTTTGTCTTTGGGAAGCACAACTGCACCCAGCTGATTATGTATAAAAACTATTCCTTGTTCAAAGATGTGTAAATGTCCTAGAAGATATAAGAAAACACAGGTGGAAATCATAAATGTTAACTAAAAATTCCCCTAAATAAAAAACATGTAAATTTGGCTTATCAAATTTCTTATGTACAAAGCGAATAAAAAATTCATCAGTTATAATGCAAACTGCCCAGCAAGCATAAACATTCTCAACATCAAAACACAAGATCAGCACGCAGAATCTAACAGTAATACTTATACAATATTCTAATACTTATACAAATTCCTGTCAGTCTGTAACAGAGCTATTCATACCTTCCTCAGGACTGGAAACCCCATTGCTTGCAAACACCTGTGCCATGTCTCCAGGAACCAGTGTACGCCCAAGGCTGCCATTGTCACCTCCTCCTATCATACTGATTATATCTGGGGTCAGCTGGCCAGTGTACTGAAATACAGACCATCCATGCATATACCAGTATATAGCTATAAGCAAAGATCATGACAGTACTAAAACTAATAACTTTTAAACTGGAAATTAAAGCTAATTCACACTATTAAAATGTTACACTTGGCATCAACAAACCTGTGGAGAGAAAAAAAAATTGAAAACATAGGATAAAAGTTATGTTAGTAGTGTAAGCTCTCTACCACAATCATAGTCTTGTTCATACTGCCAACATGGTGATATGAGAGCAACTCATGATCAACAACATGCTATCAGTATAAACAAGACTGCAGAAGTGGCAGCAGAAAGTTTACAGTACTTCTAGGTCTTATATCCAGAATTAAAGGGATAATAACTCTTCGTATGATATCTATATTTCACAGTAAAAACCTTGTGAATAACTCATAGAAATATAATATATTCTGTTTTACCAAAAAACAGCAGTTATAGCTTTTATTCTGATATCTGAACTTGTCTTTAGACCACGTGACCTCCATTGATGTCTATACTCTGTTAAAATCTCTTAAGAGATTTTAACAAAAAACCAAACTTTTTAGAAAAAAACCAGGGACTAACTTTGAATGTAAAAATGGATTCATTAACCATTGGTAAGTATGGGAAAATTGTTGTTTACTCCAGGAAAATTCATTTTTTGGCCGAAACGAAGAGTTATTATTGCTTTAAAGTTTTAAGTTTTAACTTATTTTATTATATATAAAATCTACCTTGAAATATGAACATACATCAGTCAAAAAGAATAAAGTGGTACATACATTGTATTACTGGAAAACTGGGACACATGACAAAAAATTATTACACATTTTAGGGAATAGAAGCCACCATATGACAGATGGCCCTTGTTTGGTACAGCAACATTCTCTACTTCTTACCTGCCATGTGTGTTGTCTAGGAATATGACTAGTTAGGAAAAGGACCTGACTATCCAACAATGAACCAGCTGAAAAAAAAAATAACAGTTAAGTGCAAAAAGTATTGCAGCTGGATTTTTATCTCTATCTTCATACATTTCCTTATACTTTATCCCTTGCTTTCTTATTTATTTTGCATTTAAGGAAATTAAAATGGGAAATACCAAATAAGTCATAATATGTCTTGTTGTTAAATATTCCCATTTCTTGTGGCTGTCATTCACCATCAGGTGTGGTGAGGACAGATCTTCAACCCCTCCAGCTTGTTACAGGTCCACCACAAGAGGGCGCACCTGAAGATGAATAACAACCAGCAAACAGGCATAACCACTGAACACTGTAATATTCCATGCAGTTTTTTGCTCCTATATACCACTATAAATCATCAAAACATTGCGTGTTAACATTAAATTACCTTTATTTACAACTGGGATAGTTGACTCCAAGAAAGCTTCAGCAAATCCCACAGATCCCAGAGTCTGCCCATTGTGTTCTATGCTAGGGATGTTGTATATGTAAACTGTAGCAAGTTTAATCAGGGGGGAGGATTCTCCCTCTTTTAAAACCACTGGTCTGGAAAACAGAAATGAAATCAACCAATTTGAAAAGATGTGCAGCTTAATCATTTTTATGATAGTGACTTTACCAAGATAACAGATGCAACAAATGTTCTACCTGGAAATCCTGCCAACTTTTAAAAGCATTTATGAAATAGCAATAACGTAATATAAATCTGTATACCACACAGACACCACATCAATATAGATCAATGAACTACCAAAGAGAAATTTGATTCTTTTTTTTTTTAATTCAAAATATTTGTTCCAAATTGTCATATGAATGTTCACTATAAAGATATGTAAATATTTATATTCACTTGGAAATCTAATAAAAAACAACCTATTACTTTCTCTTCATTTCCTTGTATATGTAATTTATTAACTCATTTATCTATCCATAGATGGCAAATTTGTTCTGATACCGTGCCATACTGCACCCAAAAACTGCCCAACTGCCTACTTACTACTTAATATCTATCTTACCATACAGTGCTCACTACAATAATGATTGATGAGCAGACCCCCACAATGAATGTCTCTGAGGACCTCCATAATGGAATAACCTCTTGCATTGCCATAAAAACTGACGCAGTGCCAGAAGTTGTAATAATGTCTAGCATCCAGCTACAGACAGCCCTATTAGTTTCTATCTGCACTCAGAATATTGACAGACCTTACCGTAATTAAATCATGTCTTAACCCTTGCGTAAGTACATTGTGAATAATTCACGGGAAGAGCCAATACTGCCACCTCTGAGGTGATCTCTACTGAATTTAATTGCAATTCCCACAGAACCTTGGCTGAATCCAATCATGGCGATAAGGCTGTCCAATTTTGATTCTTATTACAAGGCTGTAAACACAGGAAAAGTGTCTTTGATGAGCACTATATTCATTAAGTCTTCATTTCTAAATTTTCAATAAGCCTTACCTTCCATGGTGATCATATGCTTCAATTGAGAACTCGAAATTGCCCCTAGGGAAAGTAAAAGATATTATAGTATGAGACAAAACATCACTATCACAGATTCTTTTCACTCAAGTAATAATAAAATGAATAACTGAAACCACAGTTGCAAATGAGAAAGTGTTACAAATATTTCATTCTCAATCTGTTTTTTTTTCTTTCTTTTTAGTATTGGTTATAGTTTATAGGTTTGGTTTTTTAATAGCACAGATTCAGTAATGTACACATTTTTTAAAAAATTCAAATCATCTCTGTTTCTATTTCCTTCAATAACGTGAGATTTAAAAAATATAATTTGACAAAATCTTCCAGTAAATTAAATTTCAGCAGGTGACATGGGCTCCATGACTGCAGTGAAGGTCAAGTGGTCTAAAGCATTGAAAGGCAATGATGACCTTTTCAAGTTGAGTTCATCTATTACTTCCACCGAATGAAATGTCAAAAGAAAATCAGTGGAAAAAATCAATTAATGTCTGCTATCACAACAAAACAGCAAGTAATTGATATGAAAATATAAGAGGTACGATTTAAAAAACAAGGGCATTGCACTATGGAATTGAATGAAATCTATTTTTAGTGTCTATACTTGATGATTTAGTACTTCCTTCTTGAAAAATCATGAAATATTAAATGGGGAATACTGAAAAATTGCCAAACTCACTTCTAACAAACAGAATTAAATAAATCATGCAAGGAGTGTTTATTATGACAACAAACTATAAAACATATGCTTTCCAACTTGCCCACAGGTAAGAGATAGGCACTTCAAGCCAGAGGACAGTCTTTTCACAACAGAACTTGATCCCAAAAATAACTCTAAGCTTTTAGACCAAAAATTAAGCATCTTTTCTCCTATGATAAATTAACAGAGGTCCAATAAAATTAAACATTCCACCTGGTTTATAACAAGCAAGAAATGGCTAAAATTTCAGATGCAATTACTCTTACTATTTTAAAGTGGACCAGTGCGGATTTTATCTTGAACTAAAATTGACCAAAATTTTTTTCACTAAAAGCTAAGACCAATTTACTGGACTTGTGATTTATTGTGCAACCAGCCTCTGAAGGTAAGTGTTCAAAGCATAGGCTACCTTTGTGATATAAATGTGGCACTGACTGCTGTGTCTGAGGTATCACAGCGTTTCTTCACTATTTCCATCAAATGACTCTGAGCCTGAAATATGTATACCATCCCATTTTTATATAATACAACAAGAGCATTCATTGCATACCAAGTCTATAATATTGCAAACTGACAACATCATAAACTGTGTTACATCTTATAATCAATATATTATATGCCTTTTCGCATAGTCATCATTCTGAGCAATCTTGAATGTATCCTCAGAATTTTGTAGCTTTTCAGACAAAAGTCTCTCAATACATGAACAAATCATCTATAACATGTGGTTAATGTTCATTATCAAAACCACAGAGGGCTATAAAGTCAAATTAATCACCTAGTAGTCAATACAGTAATGCAACTTAGTCTCATTAATTTCCAGAGACTGACAAAACAGCAGATATCCAGATGATAAAACAACCATTTTTCAAAACAACAAATAATTATAAACTTCATAAATTTATAAACTTCATGTACTTTTGAATCCTGAAATTTTAATCTGAAAAATTAACTGTTTCAACAAATTATATGTAATTAATGGGCAACCATCTTTTTTTCAGATCATGTCTATGGCCATAAGGTCAAAAGAAGACCTTAGGAAAGATAAAGTTATAACTAACCATAATTTCTCTCAATGAATGAAAATCATATTTTCCAGTAAATAAATGACACACTAAGACAATAATCTACTTTAATGTGCAAAATCAAAACTGGCAAATCAAATTAACCCTCTTACAAAATGAGATTCTCATGGTGCAATAAGTTTCCATTACAATTTCAATCAACTGTGAACACTAAGATGTGTACAATAATCAAATTACAATTATTCTTCTTCAGACAAAAAAGTGATAAAGAATAAATTCTCTCAATTTTTATGTACATTAGTGATCAAACAGTTTTTGTGCAACACACACACACACAGACAGAGATATATATATATATATATATATACACACACACACACACACACTCACTAATGAAAATACCTGACTCACACATACTAATGAAAATACCTGACAGACACAAGACCTCTCAAGTCCATCAACACAGTCACCACATGGAGTTCTACATACCTTCTCTACACTAAGGGAGTTTGCATATGTTAGTATAGCTGCCAGCAAGCCTTCCACTAAAAACACATACAGCTTGGTCAACAGCCTGAAATACATTATTGTATAATATTGAATAATAATAATATATAATATAATATAATATAACACACCTACAAAATCGTAGTCATTTTCACATGATGGATAGATGAATTATTTTGTGGTTAAATAAATGAATGTACATGAATGAGAATCCTTTTTTTTTAACATGTACAGTGTAATATAAAAATCACAATTTGAAAATATTACTTGATGATGACTAACAATTTTCATCACAAGAAGATCAAAGCTACTGCATAACAACAGAGACAAACAAATAACTGAAAAAAGCCAAGCAAGGTTCAATTTTGCCAGGCATTATTGCTCCTTTTTTGCTTCCACCTCTGTTCAGTAAAGAAAATTTCTTAAAATTTAATCTTTGAACTTTTCACCTTTATTACCCAATAACCTTTCCTTTTACCTGATATCAGTGGGTCCAGGAGTAGGAGTAACCTTCAGGTCTGTGGAAACTGAAAGCAGGGAAATTATACTGTTAACTTAATTAGATTTGGGCTTATGTAACGATAAGTCCCCACGAAGATGAACAGCCTTTCATTTATTTTCAATGGGACATCAATATTCCACTATGCCCACAAGGCTTATTGCATAGCAAAGAGGCATCTGTTTTTTCACTGCAATATTTAGAGAAATAAGAAAAGAAAACACCATTAATTACACCCTAAATAAAAGAAGGCGTTAACTTGTACCATGAAACCTTAAACACTTTGAAAGCAATTTTGTGCTTGTCAATTGTTCAGCATCTATAAATCACGCGATATGGGGGCACTTGACCGAACAGTAGCATTTGCTCTCCAGTGAACTTTCTAAGCCACCACACAACATCAGAAACTGAAGCAAATACCTTGCAAGCTGAAAAATTTTGAACAAAATACAATCCATAAGAAATATGATAAAAATGATTTGTTTTCAAACAAAAAATATGTGGCAGAATGTACATAAATATTAGTGCTCTCCAAAAACAACATGGTCTGTTATGCCATTATGTAACCAAATATGTGGTAGAGCAGGCTGGATATGCTGTAAGCAACAGGGGAAAGTGTAATCAGACACTACACAGGGCGTTTTACATTAAACAATGAGCAAAAAAACAAGACAAGTCATTTACCTGGCCTTTCTCAAACTTAAGGTGATTGATGGCCAATTGACAGATTGACCAAATTAGAAAATAGAACAAGTAATAATCAAAATATTTTCTTTAAGGGGAACAAAATTGTTGCTTCTAACTAATCCCACATTTTTAATAATCTATTGATCGCTGTTCAACTCTTATATCATTCTTCTTTGGAAAATGAAGATTTTAATCAGATTTGTGACTTTAATTGTAAAGAATGCACGGAATGCCCTCCTTTTTGCCTTGTCAAAATATCCACAGTGACAGATCAATCCCTGTCAGAATGTCTCCCTAATTTCATAGCAGCACATGTACAAACATTTCAATCCAAAATATACCACCGCAGCTTGACAAGTGCCTCTATATGACAGCAGACTCCTAATCAGGACCACCATTCTCCCCTTTCACATACACACATTAAACTCTACCACTGGGAAGTGACCACATCAGTGCAGCCAGATCTCTAATAGAGCACACACACACACAAACACACTCTCACACACTCTCTCGCTTGGCAGCAGAAGTTCCAAATCATCCAGGGAGGAAGAGAGAGCAAACTTACAGCACCAAATGCATCTAATAAGTTGTCAGCAAAGGTGAGGTAAGCCCAGACAGACAGCCAAGTATCTCACCAATCTTTTTCTCCCTGCAGGTAATACATGAGTCAGACATCTGGGAAGCACATCCTAGGATGTTGACTACAAGGAGAACCATTACTTAGATTTATTACTTGCTAGCTGCATCAGCAGGATCCAGGAGAGAACAGGGGAACTGATGAGATCTGTGCACCTTACAGAACTATTCTAGAAGTATGTGAAAACCCTAGATGGTATTTGATATAACGATTGAAGCATTTGTCATTTTGGTTAAGAATCATCTAAGAATTTTTTTGTTCAATCATATGACTGCATTTTTGTCTGTGAAGTTGTGGGAGTCACTTCTATCCACAGAAGTGTGTGGGAATATTGCAGGAAATATAATATTTTCAGTCTAGTAATGGTAGTGTTAGCATAAAAGGCGAGGGCATTAATTGCTGCTGCTGTAACATATATGTTCACTAACTAGATAACTAGCAAATTGTAGCCAAATGTTATACACAAGCTAATTTGACAAAAGGAAAGGTTTTAAAGAAATATTGCATTTGGCAATGCTTGGGTTCAAAATATGCATATTCCTAAATTTAATAGCTATTTGCTGTAAAAGGAGGAAGAGTTAGCCTGGAGACACAATTTTATAGGAATTCTTTATATATATATATATATCATTTCCCTCCTCTGGAATACCTTCACTATGTGCCAATGTAAATGTGCATGGTTTCAATTTCTAAGTCAAAATCAACATGGTTTCAATTTTTAAGTCAAAATCAAATTGGGTTCTTATTATTCTGACATTTTCAAATTATGCTCTTTCATATGTTTTAAGTTCACATGTACATGTTACAAAGACTAAAGAATAATATACGGTAATTCCAGGTTATCAAAGCACGTGTTTAATTCAACAAGGTTTAGGTCTGTGATATTTAGCATATTTCATACAGTATTTAATTCACAAAAATATGACATTAAGGGAAAGTTGTGTCAAAATTCTCCTTGTTTTGAGAAAAAACTTGACATTTACGTAAAGTCATTTTACATTATTAAGCTGATGACTAAAAATATCATGAAAAGATCACATTTTCATTTCTTTGTTTTGTCCTTCCAATGGCACTTGACATTAATGCAGGATTTTTATATGTATGATAAAACTTCAAACAATTTTCATTTAAATATAACACAAGGTGTGAAGAGTGTTCATATACTAGAACAGAGATTGGACCATTAAAAGAATTATAAAATTTAAATGAAAAAATAAATACTTTTCAAGCATACTCTTTTTAATAATGCTTAGATTAATATTGTGATAATGATGAAAGCTCTTATCAATAATTCCATCAGCAGAGATTCAGGAAGCACACCTTTTTAAGGGGGGTGGGGAGGGGGGGTATTTATGATCTGTCATGAAAATTAATCAACAGTTTTTGAGATGGGGTCGAAAACTACCCATTTTCAAAAGTTAGCCAAGTATCTGCTTTATGTTCAGTTATTTTATTATATCTCATGATTGCACAGTATGTTTGGTGATGTTTTGGATTATGTCCCCACTTCTCAATGGATGGGAAATGGATGATTTTTTGCCAAAGGTGCCACACAGAGTCAGGCGATGAGAAGTTTAGAACATTAAGTCTAACCCTGTTATGTAATACAAACCATTTGAGAATTTGGCTGAAAAAGTCATACATGTTTGTGTGTGGAAAACAATTTCAATTGAAAGTGAGAACTAAATCGTTGGCATCCAGGTAATTACACCAAAGAAATGTCAGAACATTTCGGAAGCAAGTTGGACGTGGATCTACTTAATAAAATGTTCCGTTTTCACATCTGGAGAGCCAGTCTCTGTGATCCTAAGTTACCATTCATTAGAATTAATTGAAAAAGAATGGGTGAAAATGAACAGAAAGGTGTATCTTGAAAGGCAAGATAACCAAATTAAAGTGCATGGCCCAACTTTTATTACAGTGTTTATTTAGCAGCAAGCTGCCTTTAAATTCCCCTCACCTATCCACACCTTGCCATGAAATAACAAGAGTCGCACTTGCTGCTTGTGGGCAAATGAAATACATGTTGCCAAGAACAGCTGAAAGTATGATTTTAAGGCTCATTGACATTACAAGAATTGGCCTGATCCAGACTTGCACAAGTCAATTTGAGCCCACACCAAATTCACCATACACTTTGAATTCCCTAGCACTTTCATTCAAAAATGCCCAAGAACCTGTATGCAGGTTTAACTTGATCTTTAATCTTACTGGATATCATCAATGTAGAAGAACTGCTTCCCAGTTTTGGTTGGTGATGCAGAAGTTTGATTGTAAAATCTGAAATCTGAAAATCGCATTAAAAAGTAAATTCCTACAATAAATCACAGAAAGTACCAATAATGGCTGTGTGCTTATTTCAGCCTCTTTAGGGTCACATTCCCACTAGCTTTCCAAACACTGCAGTCCTCTGAAGCATGTGTCAAATGTGACAATCTCTTCACCCTCCCATTCCAAAGGGACCACAGGCCAGAAATAGTGGAAAACAACAAAAAAATTCAGAAATCAATTTCAACTAACTTTTGAATAGGAAGTGGCCCCAGAAGCTAAATAGTGCATAAATATCAATGAAATCTCATAGGCTTTATTTTTTGCTAACACATTTTAAACTTGTTTTCATAGATCAGTGGCAAAAAATAATCAGTTGAGTGAGAAACTTAATAAGAATTGAATGGGGGTTCATTTTTACAGCTCAATGCAGAAAAACAATCCCCAATTCTTTAAGATATAAAAAAAGGCTCCTGCTAGTTAGTACATCCTCTCTTCGTGGGGAACATGTGGACCTTTAAGTTAATGGGCAAAGAAATTGGTGCTAGACGACAAAACATTATAAAGTACTTTTAAAAGCACTGTGAAAATTTTTGCGTAAAAACTACCAATTCCAGCGTAATACTTAAGCATGTTTTGGAATCATGCATAGATCTCCTTGATCAATCCATCTTGTTCAACAGCAGCATGTACTAATTAAAATGAAGTAACCCAAGCATAACTCATAGAAGGAACCGTTCCATTTCCATGCTGGCTAATTGCACTTGGGTTTGTTCCCATTTCCATGCTGGCTAATTGCACTCTGGTTTGTTCTGATAACCTCACACTATGCTATTAGCTTGGTTGTCATTTTGAGAGGGCAGTGTGTTCAAACATCAATACTGCAATCAGAACATTATTGCATAAGAATTTGTGATCAGTGCTATGCTCAACACTGAACTGTAACAGTAATGATTTCTGTGTCACATTCAATGTTAATTTTTCTTGGGAGTTCTGGCTCTCAGGCAGAAGGACCCAGATGGGTACCTTGTGTTTCAATATCATAGTGATGACGCTACTTTGTCAGTATATCTTTATGTTATTTAAAGCTGGTTATAGGAGAGTTAATAACATACTCTAAAATCAGGGTGCTTGTAGAGTTTTCAGGACGAAACCTCTGGCACAAAATATCTCTTTCTTACATGTATCTTACTGGTAATCTCAGATATTCAAGTCATTCCTATTTTCAATAAAAAGCATTGATTCTCAACAGTGTAGACAAAAAACATTTGATGTGGGTATCACATAAAGAAAATTTTCATAGTTCGTTAGTGCAGGAAATTAATGACTCACCATTCACATGGTTTAGAGAACTTGGTGAATAAGATATTGATTACATCATATATAATAGTTTCTTTAGCTTCTTTTTCTACTTTTGCTATAATTGGGAAATGTGACATTTATTATGGTTCTATGAATGTACTTTTAAGGTACATTATTTAAAATTTTGATGAAAAAAAAACAGCAATGAAAATTATTTAAATGGGTTTTCTACATTTACCCAAACTGCAATATCAAAAATGAACTTCACCTTATTTAATCATTCTAAACAACGCACCCAAATATATTTTTTGTAGAGAATTTTTTCCACTTTGTTCATCCAGTGCATATTTCATTTCCATATCTCTACATTATAAGTCTCTGCATGGTCTCAAATTTCAATGGATCTTTTAACAATCAACAATGAATTCTAAATAATCAAAAATGGCCTTTCCAATTCCTATCATGGTGACCAGTCACAAAACATGCCATATTTTGATACAAACACTCCACCCACTCTGCCATTCAGTTTTCTTTTCAAAAACACCCACCCTCTTGTGTCTCAGCCCTCTCAGCCTTTTATTCCATAACTGTCATTCCTTATTTCCTGTCTTCCCAATCTTGTTCCCTGTCATCAAGGTCACCACACGTAATCTGTCAATTTTCTAGGTACTCTTAAGCTCCCAGGATGTGATTAATTTAATACCAGCGGCAAATTATCCAATGACAGATCTACCTTTATCCAATTTGATGGCAAAATAAAGCACATTTAGGACCTAACTGTAGGAAATAACACAAAGAAATAATCTCAACAGGCATCACAAGACAAACAGATGTTATGTACTATAAACGAGTATATAAATTTCACACCTGTACACATTCATCAGATTCTCTTGGTGCAAACATTACAAAATTATAAAAATAAAAAATACAGCTATATATATATACAATTTACACACATATATATATTTTCTACCACATGTGTGAGCTTTCCAAAAAGGTTCCCTTCCAAAAGACTAAAATAAATGACTTTCGGGTTAACATAATTATCAGCAACTGAAATTTTACAGACACAAAATCCCTCAGTCTGGCAGATGATGAATCACCAATGCTATAATTCAGTTTAAAACAGGATATCCCAACTCTACCTAACATCTGCTAGAATGATACCATCTATAAAGAAAGTGCCACAAGTAAACCCACTCCATACAAAAGAAAAAAGATTTAAGAATAAATCAATAAAACTAATTAAACAACTGTCTTATTTTTAATCCAATGCCATATTTCTTCTATATCAACTTAGTTCTTGTTTAAGTTGACTTAAACATAATCTTAGAAACATGCTGAATATAAACCCATGAGTGGGCATATAATCAATCTCAATAACTGTATCCTCAAATGAACAAGAGTTTCAATGCTGTTCGTTCCTTTTAAAAATGAAGGACCTAAACTGCATTAACACAATTAACAGATAACAATAAAAGACAAAAGTCATGAGCTTAACACGCCAAGCCCAAGTTGTTCAACAGCAAATTGTTTCTCACAAATTTCTAACTAGACAGGACATTTGATTCTATTGACCTTTTCTACGGACTAAAAAAAAAAACGTGGTGTTTTGTCCAATTATGTAAAGGGTTTGTACAAAGATGACCCTGTGGCTGTGCATACTGTCCACCACACATGTAAACTGACATAAGCTGATAGCAAGGACTGTCCATCCTATAATGTTATCAAACCAGGTAAATTGGCCAGGTGATGGAAGCTCTCCAGTAAAGCAGCTGGTGGCACTTTAAATATAGGGAAATGATGCAGGGTTACCTGGTGCACTTACTTAAAACATGAAGTATTATACTGTCATTTCCACTTTAATGGAGTCACAAATAATATTTTTAATGATGACAATAAAAAAGCAACAATAAGTGAATTAAGTTTGACAATCCCAGGGCTTGAAATTGGAGACAAAACTTAGAATTTGCTTTTGTATCCGTAATAGTAGTTGGGGGAACAGAAACCACTTCCCTCCAATGTGCTGTTTTAAGAGGTTTTCTTAATTTAAAGCAATTACATTTTTTGTAGCTACAACTCAATCCTCTGTTCAGATATACACAGCAGTATGGACGTTTCACAGCATGGGTCACCCAGCTATGGTTTCTCTGAAGAGAGCAGTCTAAACAAACTATGATAGAGATCCTGTCATAATGATAATAAACATAGTTAATGTCCCCACCTACTGTTTATTTATACCTACATCAGAGCTCTGGAGCCTTCAGAACACTGGCATTAATTTCATGCCAGTTAGATCCTCTTTTAAAAATTGAAAGGTGAAAAAATAATTATTTTCATCAAAATTTGTTTTGATTTATTACAAGTATTAATTGATAACTTCTGTCTAAAATTGATTTTCCTTGTTAATATAATTTGGTCATTCATCATTTAATTAAATGAATTGCACTTAACAAAAATTAAACTCTTCAACTCTATGACTACATTGTGTGTGAAAGAAAGCACTAGTAAATAAGGTAAACAAAAAAGTAGTCATTTCAATATAACAAATTTCCTAGACAATAGATTCCTGCTTGTAAAGTCGCTATGCTCTTAGATCTAGGTGCAATATTCCAATTATATTATCATGAAAAAGGGAAATTAATAGTCTCACACTTGATGCATTCATCACGTAGGTTCAATATCCTTTACGGATCATAGTATCAAAAGTGGAGCGTGGATGCAAACACAGGTGAGAATTGAACATGAATCAGCAGCAGGTGCAAAAAATGGTTTTTCAGCCTGGATTCCAAATCCATACACTATGGTTCTACCTGCAGACAGTGCAGCTAGGAACCTGGATAATAACAATCAGTACACCAAAGCAAGGGCTCCTTTTGTAGCCTCTGTTGTTTTCCCGGTTGATAATCAATGTCCCAGCTCTCTCACACCTGCCTATAGGCACAGAGAGTAACCATGCTGGCCTGATGCTCAGTTTTGAAAAATTGCTGACAGTCAATTTTGCAAATCAATCCCAGCTGCCTGGCCAGGTTGTCAGAACAGGATAACTATTGAGCAATTTGTTGGTTTGCTTTGAAATAACAGTCTCTTCCCTTCCATTTCAGGCACAGCCCCCAACTTCACACCAAGGCCTCTGCTTCCTGTGGCTAGGAAGCACTCAGTGGGCTGCCTACTGCCGCATTCATTACCAGTCCAGTGTTGCCAGAGTCGGCAGGAAAAAGGGGATTTGTTTGCCAGTGAGTAGGGATAACTCGGACCACTCACTGCCTTCACAGACAAAGGACTCTAAGGGTTTGCTTGAAGGGCTCCCTAGCCAAGGAAAAAAATATCCACAAGGACCAATTTACAGAACTATCACTTCACAGAAGACTGCATTGATTTTAGGAGGTGGTGGTCTAGCAGAAGGAAAGGAAGTTTATAGATTACCAATTTTCTGTGTGATCAATATGTGAATGGGGTTGCTTATTTTATACCAGATTTTGAAACAGATTGGAAATTAGCATCACATTTGGTTGTTGGTGACGGCCGCTAATCAGCAGTGTGACTGTGAATAATCTGTGAGATTGACAGGGTGGTGGCAGTTGTACAGCTTCAAAGTCTTCAGAGTACACAGTCAAGCACATCACCAAGGTCTTACAAATTGGAGCAGCTCACTTTTTCATTAACTTCACGGAAAACTGAGGGAATTCAAACAAGGCACAGTTTAAACCTTTTTCTTATAAGCTGCTTTGAGCCAGAAAAAAAATCAAGAAAAACCAAAACGATTGGTAGTGCGTTTAAAGTTGACATCTTCACCTCTGATAATGGTTGCTTTCACCAATACAACAGAGGGAAATAAAAGGCACAACTAAAGGAAACAAGGAGCGCGCACACACATAAAGGACTAATCTAAGCCTGGTGGTTCATTGAGCGGGAATCATTGAATGGACTTGACTTGGAGAGAGAGAGAGAGGGAGAGCAAGTGGGATGCCAGAATAACAGCAGGTGCTAGAACCAGATGCATTAGTAACTCAACACCCCATTGTGAGCCAGGTGAATCAATTAACAAAACCACTAGTTTATGTAGATCTGATATTAGAGTTTTGTGGGACATTTCCTTTGCGCTCACCAGGGGGAAAAATCATAAGTTTCCAATATAGAAAAGAGAATTTCACAGCATCAGGAAATACAGGAATTTTATGAGGACTTGCTGAGGGAAACTGTACTTGAGAAGAGAAGAGGAAGACTGAAAAAATACAACTTGATATTGAAAAGTTCAAAGCACTATATTCACTATGGAATCTATTCAATATAACTCAGGCATACCATGCACAGGGAATGCCTCCATCACTAGAGTAAACTGCAGTAACATTTCCATTACTACACCTTCTCCAACCCAGGGATCAACAAGCCAACTTGAGTGGCAAGTTTTATGCGATTACATAGTATTCTACGCAAATCCCATTTTAATTGGATTTGGATTATTCTTTGCAATTTTTAACACCATAGTTGTTATGAGCCATGCTAGAATTTCCAATGACAGCTATATGATGGGACTGACAATATCAACAGCCATTATGTATATCTGTAATGGCATGTTGCATTTCCCTGATTATGTGGGCTACAGCGAGGCTTTTCAGCATGTATTTGTGTACATTCTGGGTGGCGGTGAATGGTTTGCCTACACTGCACTGTGGCTCATCGTCATGGCTGCTTTGGAAAGGTGCGTTAACATGATGCGCCACCAGGGGGACACTCTGTGCACCTCTCTCCAAGCCTGTATCACCACCATCATGATCTACATGGTGTGCTTCGTCAGCACCCTGCCACGGTACTGGGAGTATGAAGTCGGACCCACAGTTGACCCCGCCACTAATAACACCTTTCGTAAAGTCATGAAAAGTGCAGCAGCATCAGGTCCAGAATACAGTGTATACTACTTTTGGTACATTCTCAGCTTCAAACTTTTGTTACCCTTCCCCCTCATGCTCATCATGACCATTATTCTCTGCCAACGTATCGGGCATTACAGGAAAAGGAAAATCCCTTCCTACAGACGTGACAGCACCTTAATTCTACTCAATCGCAAACTCAAGGAAGAGATCGACATCTCCAGATTAGCCCTAGGGCTGCTGGTGACCTATCTGTTGCTAGCAGGACCGTATGTAATTATCACCGCCATCCCTGAGGTTTTCCCAGAGGCGCTGGACAAGACATCAACCTTGTATAGTATTTTGTTTAATTTTTCACAATGTTCTTATTATCTGAACTTCAGTCTCCAAGTGATCTTATTCTCCTGTTACAGTAAGTCCTACAGGATTGCTGTGGCCAGACTATGTTGTGACAGATGCAGGAATCCAGACTATGAGGATTATTAATCTTTAGCCTTATGCTTGAATTCCTAATCCAAACAACTTGGGAAATCGGAAAACCATGAGGACAAAAGAATGGCTCTCAATGGATAAAAAAATCTCACTTTCTCTGAAGAATAAAAAATATCTGGTGTAAGACTGAAATCTACAGCAGCTGTTGGTGTGGTGCAACGTCATTGTTAAATTATTTTTTCATTGTGGTTTAGTCAAGTAATTTGAAACAGAAAAGAAAATATAAAATATAAGACAACAAAGTGAATGTTTGAAACAAAAAATAATTGTCACAACATGATTTTTCAATGGCTATTGAAGTTTGATTGTGATGGGTGAAAAATAAATGCCTTAAACTAAAGCTACTATGAAATGCATTTTCTAGTGAGTGTACTATGTAATATGGCATTTAAGTGGGCTTAAAACACACAAATAATAATAGACTCAGATCTACAAAGTAAAAGGTAAAGTTTTTCACCACCAGTTTAACCAAAAAACATGTGAATGCTGTCTACGAGGAATAGCTTAACAGATTACAGTGTGAACCAATTGCTTATATTTTTAGGATATCCATGTTTCTTACTTATAAACTAAGTGAAGCAGAATTTCCTGATAAAAAGGGCCATTTCTTTCTCAAACAAATATGTATTGCTCTAATGATCCATGTATGATATTCCCATAAAAGTTTCCCTTTTAGATTAAAACACTTCAAGAGCAACCAAGTCTATGCCCTCTAAAACTGTCATTGTTATTATCCCCCTAGTGTACTCATAGTCACATTTAATCAAGGACACACCAAGTAGGGAATTTAAAGTTTAAATTCCAAATACACTGTCCTAATGTGCTAGAAATTTGACTGCCTGTAAAAAAAATTTCCACAACGCCAACATGTCCATTCACTCATGTGATCAGACAAGCATAAAAACACTACGCCATGTGATAGGTTTATGAAGAAAATATGTTGAATGGATTTGACGATGGAAAAAAACATGAGCAAACCACCCTGTATGTTGTGTTTCATAAATGTGAGAAGTACCAAGTCTAATCACCATGCTTGCTGCAAAGACCCAAACTTTCCCTACCCAAATGCCTGTCCTCTTTCAATCTCAAATATTCAATTAGATAAATGTGATTAGTAAGAGAGAAAAAACAAGCATACATTCAAACTGATTACTTGAAAGATACCTTGTTTGTGGTTAATAATGATATATTTCTAAAGCACAACCCAACACAACTATCAAATGCCAAATTCTTCACAGCAGACAGCCACTTTGAGTCCAATAGTTAAGTGTCAATTTTCTCAAGTACTTTCTGCTGTTCAGTTCTGCCGTATCCCATTATATTAAGATTACAGGTTGCTCCTGTGGAAAAAAGTAGGTCTTCTTCAACAGCACTGCACTTAACTGTGCTTCTATCTATTTGTTTAAATATGGTGGAAAACAAACAAGCAAAATGACTTTTGGTGAAAGAAGCTCAATAAAATGGGAGACAGAATTTCTTTAAATCAATTTTTGTTCTGAAGAAAGGCAATCAATGGATAGGAAGCAAACAATTTACTCTTGCTGTGAAGGAAGGGCAATCAATTGCCAGAAGAGAAACCTTTGTTCTGAATATTTCTATTAATAAACACACATTCTGAGATAAAATTTTTCATAAATATGAAAAAGTTCAGCTCACTAAGAAAATGCCTTCCAAACAGGTGGTTCTAAGGGGAATTCCACTGATAACTCCACTGTTACGGCTGACAGAAAATGAATTGTGCTTGTCAATCACTTAAAATAACTAATCTCCCTGCTTCTTAACTGCTGCATTTAAGCCTGCCATAGACAGCAAAACCTTTTGAAAAGAAATTCACCTGAAGGCTTATGGTAAGTTCTGCCTTGGAAATGTAAGCAGATCTGGCACATGAATGAAATATGGAACTGGTCTTTATCTCTCTGTTCTAATATCTTGGAGGCAATGTTAAGATTCTCAACTAAATGTGTGCAACAACAATTAACCTTTCACAAACAGGAGACATTTTTGTAGTCAGAAGCACTAAAAGCCATTAATAGCCAATAAACAAACTCCAGTTTTTTTTTACCTTTTTTTCCACATTTGACATGCTGATGAGATGAAACATTGCAGTTTTTTTTTCATGAATACCCCCTCCTTTATTTGGATTATTTGGCAGATTTTAGATTTTATTCGATTTCCTAAATATATTTTAATTGTTATTCAAATTTATCACAGATTATCAGAATCTTCTCTAGATTTGGTAATTATATCTGGGGAATTCCAAGGACCAATTTCCATTTGAAAATAAGAGACTTCAAATAATATATATGCAAACACAGGGATATGAAGAAAACCACTCAGTACTTTCAAAAACATGTCTCACAATCAAGAAAGATCAAGTAAAAATATTTTGACCCATTTCTATCGTTTTTGTGCATATCATCTGAAACAAAGGAACTCATTTAATGTGTTTCTCTTTGATCTTAGCCATTGTAAAGAAGATAAATGATAATGACACATCATTTAATTCTCCAGATGGCATTGTGTTACACATAAGATTGGCAATCCTAGCTGAGGATTTCCTTTGGATATAAAGCAGTACACAGATTGTCAACTTCAGCTAGAACACTTTAATGTCTATCAAATTATCATGAACTCGTCCCTTTTTTGCATACTCAGTAAGGTAGTTCTTAAAAAGAAAAATGAATTAACATCCATTTGTAATAAATACTGCCTGTCTGGAGTGAAGAAAAAAAAGACATTTATGTTCTGAATCACCTTATTCTTGGGGTATGAACATTGCCGTGTCCCTAAGATGAATGGACATGGAATTTACAGATAGGATAAGGCAGCAAAGAAAAGCATATTGATTACTCCAATAAGGAAACAAGATAAACGAGATCCAACAGATACAGGAGCCGAGCACACACATATCCACGCAATTTGAAGACATTCAGACTATAATTTGTAAAAAAAAATGCAACATGGATTAAGTTGCTATTCTAGTCCTAGGCACAGTGTTATGTAATTTGCTCTGCCAACAAAGGATTCTTCAATTAATAACTGTTCCCTTTGAAGACTTGCCACTGTTTAACATACACTGAGAGAGCATCTTCTATCCTAAATTCCTGACTGAAGTGAAATTGATTTTGCAGAACAAATAAGCATCCCTATCCAACCATTAGGCAGGGATCAATTTCAATAAAAACCAACAGAGATGAAAGTCAGACATGAATATCATGTGATCAATAGCCAGATCAAGCCACCTTTTAAATCATCCAGTGCAGTGAATGACCTCAGCAAACAACAGGAATAATGTGCAAATTAAATACTCAGTCATAAATTGTACATGAGATTGGTTATATATCCACAAGATGTATGAGGTATTTGGATGTACATGAGATTGGTTATATATCCACAAGATGTATGAGGTATTTGGATTTTTATCTTTTTTTTCAAATGGTATTTCTTCTCAACCAAACTCTCCAATCTATTCATGGGGAGGGAAACTCAGTTTTTAATCACACCATCATAACAATGTTTTGTGTCAGTCTTTGGACAAACTCTTTCAAAAAGCAAAAATAAACTATCATCAACACACACAGCCAACAGATGAAGTATCACGACATTTGTAGAGAACTCTTGTAGTAAAACCTAATTAGAAGTAAAATATATACAGCTGGTGTTCCAAACAGATAAACGAGGCTAATCTGTACAAACCAAAAATGTCAAAACAACACAAAATGATGCCAACATTTTTTTTCCAAATCATGCAACACAGTTTCTTGGCTATTTAGGAACAAAATGATATCATGAATAACATAACTTGTATATTTAACTTTTTCCCACAGATGCACATCATTCATACAATGAAAATTTTCTAATACTGTGTATTGGGATTAAACTGCTAGAGACTGCAGAATGGCTCTCTCCTTTGAGCCTCACAAAACAAAGTTAGGCCTCATCTTCTCTTTCTACTGAGTAAAAATATTTGTGCACAATCAAACATTTTGTAAAATCAACAACATGAAGTTCAACAATTTTATACATGTGATGACAATAATTACTAAGAAAGAAAGGAAAAAGGAGGTTTAGACCAGTGATGTTATGTTTGTAAAAAAATCAAAACAACTATTAACTTATAATGAAGCCATCTTCAATGGTGATACCTTATTTCAAATGTTTCAAATGAGTAAAGTATGTAACATCCCAATCTTAGCACATGAAAAGGTAAGGTTAACTGAAGCAGACAGCTGCTCCACCTATAGTTTATACAGTAAACTAAACTAAATGTAATCCTGCCAAAAATAATAAACCACAGAGAGCTGAAATAAAAAATTCTGAAGGTAAAAAATTGAATAAGGTAGAGAAAAACAATATTCCATCAATATATCAATATATAACTCACAAAAATATCTTACCTGGATAAGGTTTATGGCTGGCCTGGAAGAAGTAGGTCCTCACACAGCTCAGTGGACCTTTAGGTGACACAGCCTGGCAGACCTAAACATTGAAACCACATTAACAACAAACAGCAAGAAGATTGTCTTCAATTAAAAACATGCATACTACAGTCCAGCAAAAAATTCCACCAGAAGTGCAAATTACTCTATTAAATGATTCTAGTTGTGTCTTGATCAACTACTAGTGTAAATTTGAATGCATACTATAGGCCCAGAGCATTTTGAAACTTTTGAGATTTGAGATATACACAAGCTCAAATTGTTCAAATTGCTCCAGTTAAGTACAACCAACTCACAATTTGAAAAAGTGCCAAGACCATTCCCCAAGCACACATGATTAAGAAATAGGACATACGAAAGTAGGTTTTGTATGTCCTAGTTTAGAAAATGGAGAGATATACAAATGTAAATAAAAGAAAATAACCAATGAATCATTAATGTCCAGGATATGTCTCTATAATTTGTAAAAACAAAAATAACTCCAACCACCCCCAACAAATAAACCTTGACATCAAAGTTGTCACTCACCATGTGAGAAGCCTCTGAGCTTGGAATTGTATCACTGCTCTGAACTGCTCCTTTCCTGACTGCCTCTAAACTCTTCTTGTTTGTATTTTTGCCAAACAGGACAAAAGGATATCTGGCACTGTAAGGATGAAGTAAATTAAAACTTATTGAATTATTGAACTTACCTTATAGAATTACATGATTGTTGATACTTGTAAGTTGTGTTTAAGCAGAGTTGTTACCAGAGATGGATAATTAGGTAACAGTGCTTAGTACTAGGTAAAAAAAAACTAAATTTAAATGATAAAAAAAGGAATTTTTTATAAGTAAAAAATGAACCTGTGTTGTTTAGTCTGTCAAATAAAAAAAAATTAATTCTTCATAATGCTTTAACATTTACATGCATTACATAATAAATGTCTCTTATGATGAATGTTTGCATATGTATGCATTATGCTACAGAAACCACTTACAAACTGTCCGTCTTAATTGCTCCAACAAGGCCATGACTGAAGTAACTTCTCAGAGGCTACAAATTATAATGGTAGCAATATCAAAGAATGATAAAGATAAAGGTTGCTAATGAGTTGCATCCAATCTTTGTTTTTTGATAAATATGCAGCACCTGGGATAAAATTCATACTTTTGTTTTAGTCGGTACCAAACTCTATTGGTCTTTAGGGGCATCAAGGTCTATGAATCTCTATTCCAAATGCAGAAACGCTGCACAATAAATGTACAAATTTATAAGTTATGCTGGCCCAGCTTCAATTTTACTGGCATTTGGCATAGGGCCAGTGCTAACGTTGCAGACTGTTGTTCTGCACTGTTGACTGTGTCACCTTAGAATAACATGTGACAGTTGGCTCTGTCCAAAATGAAGTGTATGCCCCTTTACTGTACTTGCTCTGAGAATTGCATACTCAAGATTTCTACTGAGGTGCCAATACATTTGCCAAAATGATTATCAAAACTGTCAATTGCATGATCACAGAACTTGAACTTAATTAAATCTCAGGAGAAAAAAGCAGTCTAAGAAACAATTAATTCACTTTAAAGCAGCTTTAATTTACTGAAATCTCAGACATTGTAGGAATGAAAATGCTAGAGCATTGTAAAATTGAGCACATGTTCTCATTCTGATCTATCTAGCTTTACTAATTTTCATTTAACCTCACATTACTCACCTCACAAACTTTTCTCTCAGTGAGCTCTGCAATACCTGATTTCCTAAAATAAATACAGCATTTTTGGTGAAATGGCCAATTCATGTAAGGCTGACAAAAGAACACTGCATGCTCTCCATTACAAATCAGCATCTGATGTTTTGCTCAAATGAATACTGAGGAGCCATTCAAAATATTCAACATTTTCCTTCAGATGAAATAAAGATTCAGTTTCAAAAGATCAAATCTCTTTTGTAATGTTGTCGATTTAAAATAAAGGAGTGGCTCTGTGGCTAGCATGTCCTTTGTTTGTACACTACTTAAGTGTGTATTCTTACCCCTCCACATCCACAGTCGTCAACATAGTCTTCCACTGGCGCTCAAATAATGGAAGATGCTGTAAAATAAGTTATAAAACTACTAGGTAAACACATATACATATACCTCACTACATAAAGATAATAGATTGTGTGTACATGCCATGATTTGCATTTATTTTTAAGTTTAGAGAATACTGAAGACCAAAGTATTGAAAGTTACCAGATAAAAATTTTATCCTAAGCAGTGATGGAATGAGGGAACGCTTAAAAAAGCAGGAAAACTCTAACCTTCCATGGAATTTCCTTGTAAACCTTTTTTCATTAAAAAAAAGAGTAAATCCATCAAAAGGAGGAAGAAACTCACTTATTTCAATCTGAGATGTATTAAGCCTAATGAAACACTTACCTCAGTCGCCAACATCTCAACAGACACAGGATCCATGATGCTGTACAGCTCCGCAACCTCCTTGCTTACATCAACTACTTCATGCTTCATTGTGAAGAAACCACCACTAAAACAATAGAACCATTGCAGCAGCATGACTTAATAATAATAATAATAATAATAATAATAATAATAATAATACCACTTTTTTCCTACAGTAATCTGTTAATTTTAATCACTTTTGAAATGCAAGAGAATAGCTTTTTCATATGCCACAGAATTACCCTTTTGGGACCTAGGTTGACAGAAATAATTCAAAAATTTTCATATTGCATATTCTAAACTTGCAAAATACTTCATAAGCATCAGTTCATTTACCTTCTGCTACCATGTGCTCAAGGTAAAGCACATCTGTGTTAATCATTCATGTACCTACCCTCCAAACCCTTCCAGCGCATAAGCTTGTATTACTGGCCACTTTTCTATTGAAAATTTGTCAAATGGCAGAGGATGTGCTGAAACAATAAATGATATAAAGAGTGTCAAAGGGATAAAAGTAGTGATAAAAACAGGTCAGTGAATCATTACTCTCTTGCTTCTTAAACCATATTCCAAAACAGGAATATTTCAGAAAAGATAGTCCTATGGAAGTGTTCTTATAATATTACAAAAATTAGCTGAGAAAACTGAATATTGATTGGGATAATTATCTGTATATCTGTATGCTTAATTTATAGCAAAACTTCAATATCGAATGGTGAATGAAAGCTAGCCAATACGTATTGCCAGCAAAATAAAATCTACCAATCATTTTCCTAGCCTTATAAGATTGTAATTTTTGAGACATAAAATAGAGCTTTTTCTTACCCCAGGTACTGTAAGGAATCCCAATTGTCTTGCAATCTTTAACCATAGCAATAAAGCTGTGGATCTTGAATTCTTCAGCTTCCTCTTCGTCTTCGTCATACTGAAAAACAATTCACAATTTATAAGCATCCAACAGTCAGTGACTATTTTATTACTTACTGCCCATTCAGGATACCATTAACTGGCCAAAAGAGGAAACAGTGACCAGTGACTGAACAAATTCACAAAAGGTGACTGGCCTAGCTGAAATTTTTGCTAACATTTGGTATGGGACCAGTGTTAACACCATAGACTGACCCAAGATTCTCCAGTTAAATGTATATCAGGAATCTAAATCATAGTTGTTGATTTAAGTGTAAAACACAAAGTAGATACAATGGTACCATGTGTATTACCTTTTCAGGGTGAAGGCAGTGCAATTTCAGGTTTCTCCAGTGTGCAATGTATGGCAGGAAGTACAGGTAGTTCACTGGGTTGCAATAAATGTGAACACTGTCATGTTTCACCAGAATAAGAAGATCTAAGAGAAATAGAATGTTTGACAGAGATCATAAGCAATCTGATAATCAAAGTATAAGACAAAGACAAGACAAAGTTAAGGATTTCATCAGATATGCTTAATAATATAATGTATATTATTAATATGTAACATATTATGTCTGCAACAATATACATATTTTTCATGTAACTGTTATAAAATTGTTTAAATATAAATTTAAAGTACAGCTCTATTTAAAAAATTAAAAAGACTTTGCTAAATACTCTGCATTAGCATTCTGAATATATCAATCACCAATCTTACCATCAATTGTTTCTTCCGCAAATCCAGAGCTGCAAATAATAAAAGTGTCTTGCATTGAATCAAGCAAGTTTTATTGCCATTTTTATGAAAGGAAATTTTCTGGTAAATATCCTTCAGCTATATAGCTCAGTATACTTCTTGCAGAGAACACTGAACTGCTTGTAACATTAACTTAGGCTAGAGAAAAATTAATAAAAAGAGTTTAACACTGACAGTGAACTTTTTTAATTAACCAGATGTCTCAATTCTGTTGTAAAATTATCATAACTATACTCAACATTGTCTATAATCCGTATGAATATATCAATCTCATACTTTTACCAATCAATGAAAAAATCACTTTAAACAAAAGATCAAACTAGCAAATTTACCAAACACTTAACAAAGGTATTTATATTTGTATGATGATATTTTGCCAATTAACTATTGATAAGGTATCAAATAAATCATTTCTATATAATCAAAACAGATAAATAAAATCAGATAAAAATACTACCATGACCCTGGAGCTAATAACCTAAATTTGTCTTATTTGCACACCTTTCTAATTCCTTCCTGCGGTTTTCAAAGAACCCAAACAGAAGATGGTTCACTAGTTCTGTACAACCATCATTATAGCGACTGTCAATGCCTGTAATAAATAGGAAACTTCTGCAATACATACATTTACATATCCAGAAAATTATAATTTTCGTGACAAGAAAAATGCACAAATCCAAAAAATTTTATCATATAACATACAAAAGATAAAATCTTTTAAAGCTCATAATCAACTTTTTATCTATCGATTAAGATTATGAGTACCGTAAATTAAACTGCATAACTTCAAAGACATTGATGTTAAAACGTATCTAAACTATTATGAACCTGTTTGAAGTATCATTATTATACAAACACTACCTTACTTACAAACACTTTTCGCCTATAAAGAAAACAGGGAAGTGTTTAAGAATTATTTTACCTGTTACACACAAGATGGCATCTGGACTGGATGCATGTGCTCTTGATCCACCTTTTAATATGCTCTGCACATGCCAGAGCCGACTTGAACTAGCAATATTGGAAAAAAATGAATACATTTCAAACTCTAGTGACATGAAAATAAGCTGTCATTATATTATTTTGGTGAGGTTATTGATCATAATTAATTTACATCAATGATTTATCAAACAATAAGATTGCCAGCTTATTTCTGATCCAACGTAGAAACTTGAAACTAGTTTACAAAGGTATAAAAAATGTTTACTTCTTTTAAAATACACCATATATATATATAACTGCAACTTGATTAGTGAAATTCAAAACACCTTTCAACTACAGTACTAAATCTTTAGTCATGTACATGTAATCAGACTCACTAAAGAGAATAATATTCAAAAATATAAATTAAATATGCTAACCCTAAACTTCTAAAATGATTTTGTTCAGAGTTTTAGACAAAAATTAATTGTCTGTGAAGAAGGGAGTTCTCATTTGATAATGGATTTGCAGATACAGATCTGCTTACCAGTTCCAATTGGACGCTGATCTCTCTCTTGAGCTTTATTTTTATCTAAATTTCTGTATAAAAGAGATTCAATGGATTTGCCAAAATTGCTTTGTTTTGTTTGTGTCATTTGTTTATCATATCTTTTAGTTTGCATCGTTTATTGACATTTCGCACTTTATTTTTACCCAAGTCAAAGATGAATAACAAACCCAACTTATGGTTTTCTTGGAATATCATGATGCTCAGTTTCAACATAAGCATGATGGTGAAATTAACCATGGTATAACCATTGACTCAAGGACATATCATGGGTTGTAAATCTTTGAAATCTTTGCTATATTTTCAAATCCAAAACATTGCCGAGCTGTGTTTGTTCTCGTGTGTCACACGACACAAAACTGTTATAACACGTTCATCTGGTGTAAATTAAGAGCAGTTCTAAAACTAAGCCAAATACGAACCTCATATCATCCGTGGGTGCAAGTTATATTGCTACATAACCTCAGAAAATATCGTATAAAGTTGTTAGCAAATACAAGGTAATTTTAAACGCTGGCGCCTATTCTTAGCGTGGTGGGCAACCGCACTTCAAGCGCTAATGCTGAGCAGCGCTGTGCATCAAATGGATACTTACCTGACAAATGATGAAAATGTTTCCTGCTTTATGTTTCTTCGAGCCGAAGAAGGCCTTTTAGGTCGTCTGCTTGACATTTCGTAGCAATCTAAAGCTTATTTGCGAAATTTAATGTTCCTCGCTCCGCCATGATAGTTTGATCACGTGACCATTCGACCTTTACCTTCATTGATAACCTACTTTCTTTAAAAGTTTCATTTCTGTCTATGTGCGGGAAATTTAAAGTTGGATTTTTTCCCGTATGTTTTCTTTTCAACATTTCAGTTGGATATAATTTTTAATCGGTAATAGCAGATAATTTGCTGTTG